TTTTCAGTGTCAGAGCGAAGGGAAGCATCGGTATCGATCGAGCTCGAAAGCTCAGAACGCTAAAATCAATTAATATACTTCCCTTTCCGCCCAAAATGCTCAAAAGCCAGCGGCGTTGATGCTGTATAGTCGGCCACATGGTGCATCTTAGGCGCTCGGCTCAGGGCAGAGGGGGGGGGGCATCTTGCACTCTCTCTAGTTCTCATCGCTGTGTTCATTGCTTTGGAAGATCTCATAAATCTCTACTTGGTGGCTTGACACGGCGATGGGAAGCAACGAAAAAGCAGAGCCCCCACCCCGACCGACTTCAGCAAGAGTCGTGTGCCGCCATCAAAGCGGTTGCGCCCCTCAGTTGTATGTCGTATAGTAACCATTAATTTTTTCAGGTACGACTATTTCACTCTTCCGGTCACGCCTCGGACTCATAAACTATGTGTTATAGGTAAGCTGCTACCTGGTTCAGAGGTTCAAAGAAATTATTTTAAATTGGGTTGATGACATTTTCACATCTTATTTCCCTTTCTTGGAAAGAGTAACACACGGCCGTGCCTCTGTATTCTTCCCCCACACCAAGGAGGCCCAGGCTTTGAGCGCAGACGACGGTAGTTGCCAGAGGCCTTCCTAGAAGACATGTGCTTCGCTGAGCCTAAGTGTTGTGGGGCTCAGAGGCGCTGCCGAATGGTCCCCCCCACCCTTTCAACCACGTGCGAAATCCCACTAATCCATTTCTCATCACGTTGAATCAGTGGACACAGATTTCAGCGCTGGTTGTAGTGGTTCATCGATACTCAGTATTTAAGGATAGGTGAAGATGCGGATCCCTCTATTTCTAATGTGCAATCTGGTAAACGCTCGCGCATGCTCACTTCTCATCATTTTTGCCTACATAGGTCTTTTTTTCCTACCCTCTTATGTTTGGACCACTACCGATCCCGTGGTGTTTTGTTGATCACACTGACTCCCGTGTCCTTGACCCATAATGCGTCCCGGTGAGGTCCACCTATGGTCTGCGGCATTTCCCGTACATTCGTCCCGGTGAGCGTCCACCTATTGGTCTGGCGCATATTCCCCGTACATAGAGGAAATCCTCGCTTAGAAAAGGGGAGCATCACTTTTTTCACGAGGTTTTGTTTGAGGAACTGATAACTCTGATCTGTTAGAGGCGAATCGGGGATGCTTTAGTGGCGTTAAGAGACAGCTCTGGGTTAGGTAAAGCAGTTACTTGTCATGGTTTCAAGTGCCTTAGATGCTTTAGCTAAATTTTCTTAGGAGATGAGCATCCCCCGTGAGTCAGAAAGATCGCACCGCTGACTTCGCGCGCGGACAGTCCCGGCGATGTCCGTATTGCACTACCGATCCGAATTGTCGTTAGAAAAAAGGTTCGCTCTCGTTTATCGGGTTCTTTTAGTGGCCATGACACGACATAACTCGTACGCAAAGGCTGCGACGTCACAGGCCACGCCCATTACTGCGATGCCCCTCCCCCTATGAGATCGCCACCTACCCGGTTTCCTCGTCTTTTTTTGGCGCCAAATTGGTATTTTCAGTGCCTTATCGAAATCGAGAACAAGAGCTGTCGGAATTCGCTCCCCACATGTTCAAATTCCTACGTAACCAAGGAATAGACCATTATTTGATGGTGATGAATCAGACTGATGAGCTCCGATTCAACAGGGCTTCTCTTATCAACGTACGTTTATGTTGCCCCAGCCATCTTGACTATTTAGTGTCTTATTTTGATCGGTTTCAGGTTGGATGGCTTGAATGTGACCGGCTAGGCTGTGATTACATGGTGATGCATGATGTTGACCTGTTGCCACTAAATCCAGAGATTAGTTACGGATTTCCTGGCGAAGGTGTTGTGAGGCACATTTCTGCACCACAATATCATCCCAAGTAGGTTCACTTGATGTTCATTTGCTTGATCTGTGAGAATTTTTGCTGCCAGTTTGGCTTGGTAGGGGGCATTTTTTGGTTCACATTAATCATTGTCGATGCGTGTTGTGGAAACGTGTC